CCGCCGCCGCCGCCGCCGGCGGCGCCTTGTCCAGGACCCGGCGCCGCACCAAGCCTATAATCGTATCCACCCCTCATGCACGCGGCGGCGCCGCCGACTGGCGTGGACGTCGACACTGGACTCGATACCGCGCCGGTGGTGGCCGGATTCTGGAAGCTGGAGGCCATTTTGTAGGAGAAAAGCTGTTGGTTCACCGCAGCGGCGGTACTTCGGACGTTGTCCGGATGGTGCTGCGACTGTTGCTGTTGGGCGAGCTGTTGCTGCTGCTGTTGCTGTTGTTGCTGTTGCTGCTGGTTCATAAGATGTTGATGCAGATTTTGTTGCTGTTGTTGCTGTTGTTGTTGCTGCTGCTGCTGTTGATCGGTCTGGACAGTGTTCAGACCGGAGGGCCACCAGGCGGCACCGCCAGAGGCATCCTCTCGATTACCCGGGCTCGCAGTCCCCCAGCCACCGGCCACGCGGTGGTGCTCCGACATATCGTACACGCGACGTACGTCCGTACGTCCGTCAGCGCGTCCTCAGCCTCTCGTTTTACTCGCCGGTGATACAACACCAGCGAGGGAAAAGAAGAATTCACGAAGGAATTGCTCACCCGCGCGCGCGCACGCACACATGCACGCGCTAGAGTTCCCTTTCTCTTTCCTCTCTCCCTCCCTCCAACCGTCCGTCCTTCTTTCTTTCTCGCTGTGCGCGTCTTTCTCTCTTCCTCCCTTTCTCTATCTCTATCTCTCTCTCTCTCTCTAATACTCACACGCACACGCGCGCGCTCGCACGCTCATATAACTCGGTAACATCCCGCGTGCACGCACAGCGCACACAGACGGCGAGCTCTATATTGTTCCTTCTCTCTCTTCCTCTCTCGTTTTCTCGCTCGCTCGCGCACATACACCGGAGAATCCGTCTCACATTCGCACACTCGCGAGAACTCGCTGGTACGAACGCTTAGACGTCGGACAGGAGAGGAAAGACTCGCACCACACACGCATGCGATTCAAACGCGTTCTCACTGTCACACAGCACTGCCCGCGTTTAACCGCGGCCGACGCGGCGACGGTTGAACACCGCCACGAGAAGAACACCGATCACTGTAACGCTCGTACTCGCCCGTGCTCGCTTACTCGCATCGCGAACGCAGGCGGAACGATGTTTTCCCCCGTCCTTTTCTTTTTCCGTTTTTTTTCTTCACGCGTAACAAGCGCGTAGAACACGCCGCGGCGCGCTTAGCTTCACAGTTTCCCGTGAATATACGTATGTACGTACGTTATACTTGGGATGCGGTCTACTCGACGCTACGCTCGACCGTTCGTTAGCTCCGTGAGTAGGTACGGCGGCGGGCAGAGGAGGCGAGCGGGCGGGTGGGTAGGGGAGGGCGCTCTCTCTCTCCCCCTCTAGCTCTTTCTTTTTCCCTCTGCTTCCCCACCATCGACGACGAGGAGCAACGACGTCGAACGCTCACGCCGCTTCGTCTCTCTTTCTCTCACGCCTTC